ACCCCAGAGAGTAAGAAGATATAGAGATTCATCTGGGGGCTGACCCAGCCAACGAAAGGAAATGTCATAACTGCAAGGCCAGATACATACGATAGTGCCAAATGCTTAGCACAAATCTTAATCGACCATAGTGATGACCTTGAAGAAGCATCTACCACTCCTGAACCGACAGAGAGGAGTGATGAGATCAGAAAAATTGGAAAGAAGAAGAAAAGTCAGATATTGCAGGAGTCTTCGAAGAAGCAGTAAACTGTGGCAGTTTGCACTGCTACTACCCATGTAGCTGTTTTTGTTGTTGGATCCTCAGCTCGAAAACATACCAGTAGATATGCTGGGACCCTCGCTAGTTGTGACAAGTGCAACTATCATCACCTCACTTCCAGTCCATGTCTAGAAGTGTTTTGCAACAGCTGTGGCAAAAAGGGTCACACTGCAAAGAACTGCAAGACACCAACTCAATCAACTAATCAGACTTCTGGAGCGGGCATTGGTCAAGCCTGCTATGGTTGCGGAGAAGTCGGGCATTTCAAGCGAAACTGCCCCAAGGCAGCAACGGCTGGCAACACCAGAAGATTTCTAGCAATAGTACAAGAGGAGACAGCCGTTGATCCCACCATCGCCTCAGGTATATTCCTCCTCAACAACTCTTACGCTTGCAATCCTTTTCGATTCTAGTGCTAAAAGAAAATCTGTTAACTATTCATTCAAACATATTCTTAATCTTAGCCCTGAGATAGTAAATGAAACATTCACCATCACGACGACTAATAGTAGGAAAGAGAACTTTATCGATACATCCATAGACCTTTGCTCTTAATGATCATTCTTCATCCATTGATCATATGCGAATTTCCATAAATAGTTTTGACGTTGTCCGTGACATGGACTAGTTGAGTCCCAATTGTGTCGATACCCTTGTATTGAAAAAGCCACCCACTCCAATCTCCTCTCTGGTCAGACTATCATGATCTACGACGATAGATTCGGTTTCGACCTTCGTATCATTTCGTGCATCAAAACTCAATGGTTTTCCCCGAAAGGAGTGTCATACATCCCTAACCCATGTGATCCGTGGAAAAAGGAAGTTAGAAACCTCGAGAACATCCCTGAAGTCTGTGACTGTCTTGATGTATTCCTATAGAGCTTCCGAGAATTTATTTCCGAACCTCAGGCTGAATTTCGCATCAAACAAATTCCTGGAACTATTTTAGTAGTCAAAACAACCATCAAAACCGATATCCATTTTCCTCAAATAGATGACCTTTTTGATCCACTTCAGAGAACCATCCACTTCTCAAAGATAAACTTTAGGTCAAGGTACCGAAAGCTACAAATCCAGGAGAGTGATGTTCCCGTAGACAGTATGTCGGACTCGATATGATCACTATAAGTTCGTAGTGATGTCCATTGGTCAAACCATTTTTCCTTGTTCATGTAGTAGACAATGAAGACATACGTTTGGAATCCTCCTAAGATCGAAGTAATAGAGAATTAGTCGGTACCCAAGACACCCACAGAAACCCGTCAATTCTTGGGTCTCGTTGACTACTATTACAGGTTCATCCAGAATTTTTCCTGAATTGCCAAAACCTTAACCATTCCGACATCGAAAGATGTACCCTCTTGTAGGAGGTCTTACTTTGGAAAGACATGGTACGCCTTGGAAAGCGCGAAGAACTTAACCCGTGGTACATTAGACCCTTCGAGATCCTCGTTAGTAACCTTCAAACTCCGACTACCTTCAGAACTTAGCAGCAACCATCCGGTATTCTACGTGTTTGTTCGTAAGAAGTACCCACTCGACGAAACCCTAGTAATCCCTTCGATGTGACCAAAACCGTATCCCGATAACGAAGGTTCGCCGGAATGCCATACGAAGACACAAGTTCATTTGGGAGCGTAAAGATTCAATGAAAACGAAGTATCCGTATCTCTTTTGAAATCCTTGAGTCGTATTTAAGGTTTGAATTTCGGGACAAAATTCCCTCTAACGGGGGGATAATGTGACAACCCAAAGTTTACTACATCGTCGTAACCCGTTTCCGCCCATAAAATTCGTCTCTTTCGAATTGTTTCCGTTTAAGTTTTAAATTAAATCATTATTTTTGAGATTTCTATTATGACTTAATGGGTGTCTAAGCATGTTTAGAACTCATTTTAACACTCCATATTAGAAATCGGAAACATTTTAGTTTCAACCATATCGGGTTATGACATCTTAATCGGGTGCGACCGAAAGCCCCGTTTAACGTCGGTATCGGGTAGAATTCCACCGTGTCCCAAACCCGAACCATATTTAAAGTGGTTTAAGCTTCCATTTGAAGCTTTTACTCTCTCTCACTACTCTTTCTCTCTCTAACCTCTCCCCTCAAACCAAATCTAAGGTCCAAAAACATCAAATTTAAGCTCCAAATCAACAAGGTAACTTCCCTAACTCTTAGTATAGCATCTTAGACCTTCAAATCCGAGTTCAAACAATCATTTAGCACCATTTTCATGTGTTTACGGCCCTGGAATATGCTTGGGCCGTAAACACACATATGATGGGTTTTTGAGCCTTTAAACCCTTCCAAAACAACTTTGGGACTTAGATATGACTTAATGGTTTGCCAATTCGGACTTAGAACACCTTGAACATCATTTTTGAGGAGTAAACATGATTTTACTGTCCAAGAACATGCTTGGGCCGTAAACTCATATTCATGGAGAGTAAACTCACATTTGAGTGTTTAATAGCCACTTAAACACACCAATGGCCTTGGAATAAATTCTAGAATCAACCACAATCGATTTAGGGGCCTTAAGCTTGATGAAAACAACCCCTTGGAGTGTTCATGGCCGTAAACCTCCCTATAAAGGGTTCCTGGGCCATAAACTCATAAACCCAAGTCAAATGATGCCCAAACTTCACCCATGGACTTGTAAAATGACTTGGAATCACATGTGATTGAATTAGGACCACCAAAACACTTTGTGAATGCACACAAGAGTTTATGGATGTAAACACATAGTTTACTACCGTAAACTCCTCTAAGGATCCTTAAAATGTTTAAAACACTTTCAATGCCTTAAAGCCAAACCTAGATTTAACCCCCAAGTGTTTCAAGGCCATTTAGCATCCAAAAACACCACTTATGATTTCACGGTCGTGAACTCATGTGGGTCTGGTGTTTACGGCTATAAACTCCCTAAGAAGTTTACTCATGAGGAGCAAACTCATTATCCAAGCCTTATATGTATATAGATGTCACCCGGGTCACTCCAAACACTTGATTTGAAGTGTTTTCGCATCTTGGAGTGTGTAATCATATCTAATTAGTGATTTAAAGTCTAATTAGATACATCTGTATACCATTTCATATTACATAGGAACCTCGCGCATTATCAAGCCCCGAACCGACACATAGCATCCAAACCGACACGTTTTCTCATCTGGTGAGTTCATACCCCTACCCTTTTTCAATGTTTTTCACTATTTTCAGGGGGGAATACAAGCAAAGTACAAGTAATACCTGTACTCAAAACTTATTTTATATGTGTTGTGTTTCATATTACATATGTTTTTAACACTAACAAATCATAGCAGAGAACCGTTTGAACTTGCAGATCACATTATCATATAATTTGGGAAAAACGTTATAAATTGTCGTATTTTATATTTTCACAAATGGTTTTTCCTCATTATAATAGTTAAAAACATAACCTTAAAACATTGAACAGGAAACTTAATATATTGTTTTGTCCTCGGTAACAGTCCATAGAGATACGCGAATGGAGGATAATAAATAGAACTTTTGTATTGTCCTTAATAAAACACCCCCTAGACACGAGTGTGAAGGACAAGTATCATTGGAAATTAGTCAGGTCTTAGTTAATACTCATCCTAGATATGAGAGTGAAGAACCAATAGAACAGGATTTTCGTATTGATATTTTCAGTTTTAAATTCACGAATCTTAAGATTGGAGACACGTCCTTTGCAACACTTCCCTAGACACAAAAGTGGAGGACTATTCTTGTAACCAGAATCTCCAGAAAAGGGGAGAGAGTGACTTGAGTGTATAGATCTATACGAGACTGACTATCCCGCACCTGGCTGCTAGCTACAGCCGAACCGAAAGGTTCAAGGGTGACAAAAGTCATAGAAGATATTGGCCCCATCTCGAGTCGTATCTAGTCTGTAGTATGGTTATGGAACTCGCAATCAAGATTATGAAAACATTATACTTATTTATTAGTTTTATATACGTCTTAAAACTAATGTACATTTAAAGGTAACCAAACTTTCAGGAAACTTCGCACACACACACTTTAAGTATGGTAGATACTTGTACGTTACTTTCAGATTCGATAACACTTCACAAACATTTTAGGAGAATATAGGATTTTCCTGGGATAACAATTGAACATAATCAGAACCGTACAATATAACAGTTAACCAAACATTACTTTTGAGAAAATATGGGATTTTCTTGGGTCGTAACATTTTCATAAACTAGAAGGAAACTCGTACATTTTCACCAAAACAAAATCGCTTATGAACTCACCAGCTTTATGCGGATTTTTAAAATGCTTGTATTCTCAGATCCGCATTAGACAGGTACCCGACGACCTTTTAGATGAAGATGGAGTACGTAGAAGACACGTCTAAACTTTTGTTTATATATACATATGTATCATCACTTGTACAACTTTACTTTTGAACAAATGTAAATTTTAATATGTAATGTAATGGTTGTTTACTTTGCTTACTATGTACATTGGTTGCGATATTCATGACATCCTCCACCCCGAAACGTTTCTGCCTTCGGTTTCGGGGTGTGACAGATTATTGGGCATGCTTCCACATAAAAAATAGGTCCAACTATGGCTCATAAGTTGAGGGAAAGTTTGGGAGGTGGGTATGAGTTTGTAAAGCCAAAAGTAGTTGACTATAAAAATTTATGGACATATATCAACATAATTATTGGTTATAAAGATGCCCAAATGATAGTAAACACAATGAATGACCGTCAAGCTCACTATCCAAATTACTCATTTGAGTTTAATTGTCAAGATGATGTTTTGGACTGTATGTTTTGGGCTGATGAAATGGAGAAGGCATATTATGCTGAATTTGGTGATGTTATCTCGTTTGATGCAACTTTCCGAACAAACAAGTAAGTTATTTTATCTACTTTTGTTTATAGCTTATTCATATATGGATATTTTTATATTCACTTATTAATACATCAAAATTTAACTTTAATGAACATTTTTTTGTGTGTTAGGTATCGAATGGTTTTTGTTCCGTTTACTGCTATTGACCATCATAAAAAATCGGTTACTGTTGGATCTGAGTTGCTAAGCAATGAAAGCATTGAGTCTTACTCTTGGTTGCTTAAAGCATTTCTTAAAACTCGTGGGAAAGAACCAACACTTGTTTTAACCGATCAAGATGCTGCAATAAAACAAGTTGTTGAGAATGTGTTTCGTAATTCAAAGCATCGATTATGTATGTGGCATATAATGAAAAGGTTGAGAAAAAGGTATTATTTTAATACATTTCAAATATATTACTTATTAGTATAATCATTTATGAATACTGATTGTTATTTTACTTATTATTATTTATTTATTTATGAATATTTTTATTTTAATACAAATATCAGATGATTTATTTACGAACACAAACTTTAGAAAAAGGTTTTCGAAGCTTGTTTGGGACATTAATATGAAGCCTGATGTTTTTGAGGTGAAGTGGGGTTTGCTTATGAAGGAATTCAATCTTGAAGACACAAGATGGTTTAAAGACATGTTTACAATACGTGATTCATGGATACCTGAATATTTTAGTGATACTGCAATGTGTGGTTTGATGAAGACTACATCGAGGTCAGAGATTATGAATTCTTTCTTTAATACATACTCAGAAATTGGGAACTTACTTTTGAATTTCATGATGAATTACAACACTGCCATTCAAAAGCAAAGGAATACTCAACGAGAGCTTGATAAGGCATCAAAGAAAGCATCATATAAAATGCAAACAACTTGAGAAATAGAACTGTAAGCATCAAAGGTTTATACATGTACATTACTTTTTGAGGTGCAAAATGAAATGTATAAAACATGTTTTTTTCTGTACATACTCATATGTTGGCATTGAAAATGGTTGGGAAGTTTACATTGTGCAGCACAACAACAGTAAAAGTGATTTCAAAACTGAATTGAAGGTAATTTTAGTAGTTTTTTTTATGAAAAATGTAATAATGTTCATATATGAATATGAGAATATTCATATATGAATATATGAATATTATATGAATATATGAATACATGAGTGTTGATATGAGTATTCTTATATGAATGTAAATGTGTAAATTTTGTTTTTGTATCAGGTTGAAATAAAAGCTGAAGAGAAAGAAATAAATTGTAGTTGTGAAGATATTTAGCGTATGGGTGTTTTCTGCAGGCATGCTTTTACAATAATGATGAGATGTGGTGTTAAAGAAATTCCTGAAAGATACATTTTGAAGACATAGAGAAAGGATGTGATATCAAGAAATTATTGTTTTAGTTTTGTTCAATCCAATTCAAGTGATTGTGAGAATGTAAAGCTAGTCAATGATTCATATTGTAGTTTTGAATCACGCTTGGATATTGTAAGAGATGACAAAAAGAGATTGGCTTTTTTTGCTGAGAAACAACAAATGTTGTTGAAGGAATTTTGTGACAACCCGAAATTTATTCCGTCACTGTAACCCATTTTCGTTTGTGATAGTCCAATCAAAGAGCATGTGTCATCGAAACATTCAATATGGAAAAGACTCACAAGAATCTACATTCAAGAGATAGTCCGACTGCACGGTGTGTCTATGTCCATTATCTCCGATCGAGATAGCCGGTTTCCCTCAAGATTTTGGCAGTCCCTTCAGAAAGCTCTTGGAACTAAGTTGGATATGAGTACAGCTTATCCCCCTCAGACAGATGGACAGAGTGAGAGAACTATCCAAACCCTGGAAGACATGTTGAGAGCATGTGTCATCAATTTCGGAAAGTTGTGGGACACCCATTTACCCTTGATCGAGTTCTTGTATAACAACAGTTACCACACCAGTATCAAGGTTGCCCCGTTCGAAGCCCTCTACGGTTGCAAATGCAGATCCCCTCTGTGTTGGGCCGAGGTAGGGGGCATGCAGCTAACTAAGGGTCGAGTCCCCGACGGTGCTCTCACAGATCCTAAAATCATCCGTGAAACCACCGAAAAGATCATCCACATCCGAGAACGACTGAAAGCTTCACGAGACAGACAAAAGAGCTACGCCGATAAACGATGAAAACCCTTGGAATTCCAGGTTAGAGATCGTGTCTTGTTGAAGGTCTCGCCCTGGAAAGGCATGATACGCTTTGGGAAGCGCAGGAAATTGAATCCAAGGTACATAGGACCTTTCGAGATCCTTGCTAGGATCGGTCCCGTAGCCTACAAACTCCGACTACCTCAAGAGCTTAGCAACATCCATCCTATCTTCCACGTCTCAAATCTTAAAAAGTGTCTATCCGATGAAACCCTCGTGATCCCTCTTGATGAGATCGAGATCAATGAAATCCTGAACTTCGTGGAAGAATCAATCAAAATCATGAATCGAGAGATCAAACGTACGAAACAGAGTCGCATCCCGATAGTGAAGGTTCGCTAGAATGCCAAGCGGGGACCCGGATTTACTTGGGAGCGCGAGGACTCAATGAAACAAAAATATATGCATCTCTTTGCAAATCTAGGATTTGTGTCTTCATTCTAAATTTCGGGAAGAAATTTCCTCTAATGGGGGGATGATGTGACAACCCGAAATTTATTCCGTCACTGTAACCCATTTCCGTTTGTGAAATTTATTTTATTGAAATTTTCCGTTAACTTTTGGGTTAGGAAAATCAGTTAAGATTTTTATTATGATTTCCTAAGTGTCGGAATGAAATAAAAACACGTGAAACACCCTCGATATCCCTTGAAAAGTTTTTAGTTACGACCAAGTCGGGTTACGACCATTTAATCTGGTACAACCATAAGCTCCGTGTAACGTCGGTATTGGGTGGATCCCCACCTAGCCACAAACTCAAGCCCTATATAAGAGAGTGAGTAGTCACCATTTGAAGCTTTTTCACACCCCTTAAATTCTCTTTCTCTCTACTCTCTCTCTCTCTCTCTACAACTCGAGTTTTGATCGAAAAATGCCTCATTTAAGCTCCAAAATCATAAGTAATCCTTCCTAGCTTGTTGTTTAGCTTAGTATGCATGCAAATACGTGTTTAAATCATCCAAAACCCTCAAAATTATGTGTTTACGGTTGAGGAACACCCTCAAAACTGCAAACACCCATAAGTGGGTTTTGAAGCCCCAAAACCCCTCCAAAACCTTTCTAGTGCTTAGCTATGACTTAGGGACTTCCATAAATGAGCTTAGAACACCAAAAACATGTCTTTAAGGGGGTAAACATAATTTTATGGCCCATGAACATTCATGGACTGTAAACACCTTTTCATAGACCATAACACCTTTTTAAGGTGTTAAAATGCCCTTAAACACCCCCTATGGGTTGGATTAATGTCTAGAACCTTGTATCCCTTTATTTAAAGCACCAAATAATACAAAAACGAGACACGCATGATTTTACGGCCGTAAACCCATGTGTTTACGGCAGTAAACTTGCCAAGGGTCATTCATAGGCCGTAAACCCCAATTCCAAGGCCATTTCAATTCCCAATCACTTCCTAAGACCTTGAATCAACCTTAGAAACTTGTATGCTTAACCTAGAACCACCAAAGCATGAAATGAAGGGGCGAATCTTAGTTTACGTCCATAAACTCTATGTTACAGCCGTGAACTCCCCCTAAGATCCATATGGAGCCCTAGTCACTTCTTATGCCCTAGAATTGAGCACCCCAAAACACCCCACCCATGAGTTTACGGCCATAAACTCATGGAGATATGGTCTTTGGGCCATAATCACCCCTAAGGGTTTACTCTTGAAGAGTAAACTCCTTATCGAGGCCATACACTTCTTAGATGCAACCCGTATCACTTCCAACACTTGAGATAAAGTGTTTCCGTGCATTTGAGTGTATTTACTTGCTTAATTAGTGGTTCAATGTCTAATTAGATACAATTACGTATCACTTCATGTTACATAGGATCCTCGTGAGTGTTCAAGCCCTAAATTGACACCTAGAGTCCTACCCGACACATCCTCATCTAGTGAGTTCATACCCCTACACCTTTTTCCGTGTTTTTCATGATTTCACTGGGAAATACAAGCAAAAGTACAAGGGTACTTGTACTCAAAATCCTTTTATTTCGTATGAAACGTTTACGTGTTTAGCATGCTTTTAACACAGGAAACCGTATTACCAACCATTTAACTTGTAGAGTTTGTTTTCGAAACTAAAACAGAGTAACTTGTGAAACTCATTATAAAATGATATATTTTATATTTCACAAAGGATTTCATGCCATTCATAAAATAGGATTTTCCATATTATTACATGTATACTCGTTATTCTTAAGATTAGAGACACGTCCTCGATAACACTCCACATAGATACGCGAGTGGAGGACCGACCCTGTAACCAGAATCTCTTGGAGGGAGAACGTGACTTGAGTGTATATATCTATACGGGGCTGACTACCCCGCACCTTGCTGCTTGCTACAGTGGGACCAGCAGGTCTACAGGTGACAAAAGTCATAAAGTGATGTTGGCCCCCGTTACGAGCCATATCTAGTTTATTGTATGGTTATAGAACTTGCAACTTAGATAATGGAGATTTACTCTTAAGTAAAAATGAACCTAGTGAACCAACCTCAAAGTAATAATTGTTTTGATTATTAGAGGGTATCAGTAATACCCTTAGGTATTAGTTCACAACCTACTGATTAGTTTTATATACGTGTTAAAACTAATGTACTTCTCAAAGACAACCAAACTTTCAGGGAAACTTCACTTAACGATACAAGTATGGTAGATACTTGTACACTTCATTCCGGATCGATAACCAACTACCAACTTTTAAGGAAAATAAGGATTTTTCCTGGGATAACATGACTTTTCATTAACAGGCTGTTTAACATATGGATAACCAAACTGCTTTTATAAGAAAATATGGGATTTTCTTGGGAAACAACTTTTCGTAAACTTAAAGGAACATTTTCATTCACCGGAAACAAACCGATTATGAACTCACCAGCTTTATGCTATTATTTCTAAAACTGCTTGTATTATCAGGTTCATGTTAGACAGGTATCCCACTTTCTTTTGGAGGATGGAGCGTATAGAAGTCTCGTCTTTACTTTTGTTATACTGATGTATATATAAAACATGTATTACTTTGCTTTCAAACAAATGTAAATATTCCTATGTAATGTAATGGTTGTGTTTACTATGCTTACTATGTAAATTGGTTGTGATACTTTACATGACGTCCTCCGCCCCGGAACGTTTCCGCCATCTGTTTCGGGGTGTGACAAATTTGAGAGTGAATATATTTCTCCTGGATTGAAAAGCAAGATCGATGGTGAAGTCGTATGCATGCTTTTGGGTGTTACTATTCCTATTGCAGAAGAGATTAATATTCATGTTCCTGAAGTTCAAAGCAATAAAGGTTTTGGAATCAAGAAAAGAATTTCCAGTGCAGGTGAAGTAGCATATGAAAATTCTAAAAAAGAACATAGAATGTGTTCAAGATGTGGAAAACGAGTTCCACAAAATTTACCTACTTGTCCAGAAAGAGTTGGAGCTGCTAAATCAGCAAAAGACAGTTAGGGATTTTTTAGTTTTTAGTTTTTTTTTTTATGTTTTTTGGTTTTATTCATTTTGAATATATGCAGATAAAAACAATAAACAATAATATTCATGTATGAATAATACACATTTATATTGATATGGTAAATTGATATGTTGATATTTGTTTTTAAATTACTATAAATAAGTTATATTGATATTGTAAATTATTCATAAATGAATACAAATATGTGAAATTTGTTATACTAATAAATAAGTAATAT